GTAATACAGTAAACATAAAAGAAAGCTATAGAAAAGAAATAAACTTACTAAAATTCAAACACTTCTGGCATTAAAATCAGTTTAGTAGATACTGGATATACTAAATTAGATCTAAGTAGTAATCTTGCTAATAGTGTAAAAAAAACTGATATATATAATCTGAAAAGTTGACTGCAGAATATCATAATAATGAAAAGAAGTATTTAGACTAAAGTTGAGTTTATAAAAAAGATAAATATAAGCTTTATTTATATTATATTTAAAAAATATTAATACTAATTTTTTAAAATAGTTGTTAACAAAAAAAAATAAAAGATATGTAAATAAAATATAAATATATATTGTAATGTTAGAAGAAAAAAAATTTTGTAAAATTAGAGAAACTTGTTGTAGTAAGAGTTAAGATAGTAATGATTAATTTTATTTTAATTAGAAGATTTATTTGATAGTTTGGTAGAATTTGTATAAAGTTTAATGTTATATTAAATTTTAATTTTATTAACAAAATGATGTTAAAGAATTATAAGATTATTTGGTATAGTTTGAAGAGTAATATTTGATTTATATTTCTCAAAAGGGTTGAATAAGATAGTGTTTGAAAAGGTTACATTATCTTTTGTAAGATTGCTTACTATATGCTTAGTTTACATAATTGTACAAAATACTATAGTCTGTTCTATATATTGAATCTGATCATTATTAATTTGGTTTTCTGTATAAATCTTAAATTTTTTATATAATTTTTTAATTCTTTATTCTTAAATCTTTTAGAATTAATATCTTATTAAATGAACTTCTTATTTTATATATTTTATATAAATGTTATTATTTATATTTATTTACTTGTCATCAATATTACTAAATTAGTTTATATTTTTATTAAACAATTTGTTCATTTAATCAATTACTATTTAGTTTTATAAATATTTTATTATAATACACTTTTAATTTGATTATATTTAACAATATATCTAATACTATAACTAATTTTTATTATCAAATTAAACTATTAAATAACATATTTATTAATAACATATTAGATATATTCTCAGTTTTCTAAACTCTAACAAATTTAATATCAATTAAATTTATTAATACTATTATAAATTTATTGTTCAAAAAAATTATTATTATATTCTCTATAAAATTTCTACTTTATCTTAATCAACAAATTTATCACAAAATCTGAATTTTTTACTATATTTTAAGAACTTCCTAATTATAACTTATTATTAAATTCTGTTTTATTTTTATTATATTTTCTTTCTTCTAATTTGATTAGTTTAAAAGTTAATTTCTAATATATCTAATAGATCAAATGTCAAACTAATCTCTTATACATAATTACTAATATCCAAATTTAGATGAGTTTTGATTACTTCTGTTAGTTTATATTACAGATAAATTAGTCTAAGTTTCTATAATATTTTAAAAATAGATTTGTATTTTATATAAAATCTCAATGACTATTTAATAAAAATAGAAACATGACCTTGTTGCAACTAATTCATTAAATAAATAAATAATTTTTCAATCAATTCTTTAATTGATTAGTTGCAACTAATCAATTAGTCGATTAATTGATTAATTGATTAGTTGGTGTCTAAAAAGTTTAATCGATTAATTGTCAACTAACCAACTAATCTATTAATTTCGATTTCGATTTGTATTACTAATACAACTATAGATACTGAATAATTCTTGTATTTTATTCTTATCAATAAAAATTAAAAACCTGACAGTCTGATTTCATATAAATAATGCATTTTGGAATTTATTGTTATTGATATTACATATGTATAATCATAAATTTCAAAGCCTAGTATGAAAACTAATTTGTATTATAGTGTTATTTTTCTTTATTACTATAAAGACTATTCTAAAAAAACCAAGTTTTTAGAAAACTGAAATAATTGAAAGCTTATGAAATACAAGTACACTGCTTATAATGCTTGTCTCCAATATATTAAAAACATAGCATATTGCATTTTATATTGCAAATTACAGGAAATGAGTGCTGCCAGGAGATAAGAAATTACGGATTTTCAATTATATTTTGTATTGGGAACAACCCCTAATAAATTAAATAAACCTTGCCTGGCACAAAATATAATCTAAAGCCGGATGTGCATTTCCCTTGAAGTCAATCCTATAATATAGCAGTTTCGGAATCATACTTTTATTAAATTATACTTGATATGCTTTTCTACGAGAACAAGTATATTCTCTCTATCTAAATACGATTCTTTAACGCGGTCAATAAAAACCGAATTTGGTGTCTTTTGTGCCGATTCTCTGGAAAATCGTCTATATAATTAGATTATTAATACGGACAACAGAAAAGGAAGTGCAATGATTAAAAAATTATTGCAAAAGTGGTTAATCTAGTATTACCTGTTGAGTCGGCATAATATTTATAAAACGAACGGATTGTACTACCCTTCTGGCAAACTACATCATATTTATGAATTGCATATTTCAACAAAGAGCAAAGCCGTTTGGCAAATAAAATGGAGAAAAAAAAAGATCAATACCGTTTTTCAAATGTTAAGTCTTGAAATGTATTTTGTAGAATTGCGTTCACTGATTGCTTTGGCTTTTCTTTAACGTGCACCTATGCCAACAAGATATTTATTTCCAGGTACAAATAAATAATATGTATAACATAAATTATGTCAAAATTAATGCTAACTACCATACAGCGTGCATACAGTATCATAAGATTTGTGTATTTACTTTTGCCTGATAAATGGCTTCTCTCTAAAAATCATGTGAATTACTCCCATTTGGATTTTATCTTGTCTCGTATGTTATCCTCCGGGTACAAATCAAGTTAGTTGGGATTTTTTGACTTGCTTCCCGGGTACTATATGCAACGCTCTATGGTAGATATATAAGAATACCTCACCAAATAATAATTGTGGTGGCTGAAGCTGAAATTTTATTACAGTCAAACCTCCGTATATGCACTCCCTTGAGACCGACCATAAGTGTGCATTTGTGAAGGATGTGCATTTATAGAGAGTGGTTTTATAAGTGTTATTATAGTTTGAACTGAGATATAGGGTGCAATTATAGAGGGGGTGCATATATAGAGCGTGCATATATAGAGGTTTGACTGTACTATTGTCTAAAATAAAACATAAAAATTAATTACTAAATGTTAAGATATTAAAGATGTATATTTTCAATAATGAATTTAAATACTTCGAGAACTTCAAAAGTGTTTGCTTGCAAAGATTCTAAATTACGCAGTACTTAAAAAACTATATAAAACAATATTTAACAATTTCGATTTTTGGAAATACTATTCATATTTTTCAATCCGTAACCAGATATTTTTACGGTAGTAAAACATGCGGTTCTTGTATTTTGGATTGGTGGTTATATAGAAATTAGCCTGAGCAGTATGAATACCATAAAATAAATTTAGTGATAAGAAATTTGAATCTGAGAAGCACTAAAAATTCGAATTCTCTTACTTGAAGTAGTGAAATAACAAAGCAATCAAATATCCACCAAATAAATCCATATAATAGTTGGGATCTCTTATCAGCTTCAACTTTGTTATTTTTATTACCCTCCACAAAAAGCCACTTGCACTGCTTGATCTTAAATTCAATAATAGATAATAAAACACGTAATAGATAAACTCTATATACTTTGAATTTATCCAAAACATAGTGCAGCGAGAGTTCTTTATAATACCTAAGCGCGATGAACTTTTCTAAAGCTAATATTCAAATGATAATGATAATAATAATAAATATTTCAATTATTCTTAAATATTCATATTACCTTTAAATATTTTACTTTTTGAATTACTCGTTTCAGCTCTGCACGAACGAATGTGGTAACCTATATTTATTAAAATATAAAGGCTATTAGAAAATATAAATATCAAGTCATAAGATTATTCATCATACCTAATTAGGGTTAGGACCAAAAAAAAAAAAGTAAGTTTTGTATAAATTATTTGCATTTATTTAGTTTATTTTGTAATTGAGATGCTCTCCCACCATCACAGAACAATAACGCTTAAGGAAGCTTGTGTATCCATATTTTTTATGTCGTGAATAATTTGATTTAACACTTGAATCAAGCGAGAAGGTATGTCAACATTAGATTTCTAAAAATAAATCTTATTATTAGTATTTGATGTTAGTAAATATTTATTTTTTTATTTATTAAAAAAAAACCCGAATCTCAGTAATACAATTTTGATACAATTGAAATAACGATTGCACGGGTTGCCTGTTCTTGTCGTGATCAAACACGTTGCGATGATCAGATTGCTTCGGAAAAATATGTTGAACTACGTCTCTCGACATGTTGGTAATATTTAAAATACCTGTAAACCATTAATATACATATATAATCAATAAAATACTAGGTAATTATACCTGCTTGTTAATTACTTAAGATGTTTAGGAGATGCAGAATGGAAAAATATTTTGTATTTGTTAAATATAAGATTCGCAGGTGATATTTATTTTTTGGTCATCGGGTATTTTATTGTATATTTTGACATTGCTAAGAGATAAATTTTCTGACAAATCAGTATTTGATTCCCGGAAAGTTCTAGTACTATTACTGTTATTGTTTTAGTGAATTTAGAATTTCTTTATGTGAATAGGAATTATCTAGAGTTCGCTTTTTTGGCTAACCATTGATTCAATCAATAAAATATAACCACAGAACGTTACTTCTAAAATCATTTCTATAATCATCACACAATACCCATTATTATATATATATAGTATTTTTTTAAAAAAAAATTAAATTCAAAAAAGTTTGTGTAGAAGCAGTTTTATCCATTAAGAGGTGTTTTATTTATTTATTTTTTTCTGTGGATAAATTGAAAAAAACAAAAAAAAAAAAACTTTAAAATATGTTAAAAACATATATTCTTTGCAATCCCACGGGTATCATTTATTTTTTCCTAAAATATATATATTTGTTAATATATATTAAATATTGTAATTTTCTAATCAACTAAATTACTTACCACCACGACAACTTGATCCGAAATGTGCGCCCCAGCGGTTACATGCTGTACAAAACTCTATTAGAGTAGCATAGTTATGTTCCATGTTTTGAACTTCAAATCCAAAGAATCTGCGACGTGGTTGCGTAGGATCGTGTGGAAAACACACATCCCACGCATTCATATCAGTCGAGGTGGTAATTGTATTCTTTGGATGAAATTCTTGGTCAGGTGCGACCATAATAGTTAAATTGTATGGTATTATATATGTCCGATCCATTTTTTCTAAGATTTTATAAATTTTATCCTCTTCTGTAATCTCGACTTCTTGGTAGCGTGCTTCAGAAGAGGGGAGTTTTTTATTTTTACCAACAACGTATGTGAATACCAAACAGCTTTGGGTTGTTTTGTGCTAAAAATTTTGAAATAAATTTCAAGGAAAAAATAATATGATAAAATAAATATTATAATTCAGAATATATACACTTCGACGTGGCAATATCTCATCATATTGATATTTCCGGCTTTGGCTTTGAAGCAGCTGTTGTATGTCGGTGAGTTGTTTTTGAATATCGTCGAAAGTTTTTCTTGCAAATTCAATGGATCCCATTTGTTGATATGGGGGGAATTCATTGCCTTTAGCATTCTATTTGTACATTTAAAAAAATATTTAATAGAAACAAAACAAAACAAAACAAAATAAAACAAAAAAAATTAATTCGATTAACCATTGCTCCAAGAACTAATACTATAGAGGAATTGTGGTTATAGTTAGGTGAAATGTTGGTGAAAGGCAAAGCCTAAAGTCGAAAGGCGAAACTCTCTGGCGAGATGACAAGACAACCCCTGGTGCTTATATTTAAAAACGTATTAAGATGGAAAAAAAAAAGCCTGACTTGAAAATCTGTTTAAATGGCAACTCATGTCGATCTTTGATTTTTTAAAAGGAATGACTTGTGCAACATGATCAATAGAATTAAAACCTTGTACTAATTAAAAAATTCCATATGATAGGTATACTTACTACCCAAATCCAACTCCCAAACTCAAGCCCAAACTATTATCTCAAAAACTTTGTGTTAATAATGTCAGAGGTAAAACCGTAACGTCCGCAAAACCTGATCCACTTGAAACATATGCGCCAGGTCCCAAGTAAGCCAGTACACAATCCTCAGTATGGGATCCCAATAAAGGAAAAGTCGATCAAGACTTACCTGTTCGCACCATAACGGCTGGGAATGGACGTTAACCCAACTTTACTCTGTTTGGGATAGTGTTTGACCCGTCTTAAAAATCCCAACCCGGGTAGTGCAATATCACATAAATGATTGAAATTAAAATTTTATGAAATATCGATTATCGTGAAATTTGGATCGATTTTTAAAATTTTCTGGAGTCTTTTTGTCGGCTTTTTTTATATAGTTAAGTTAGTATAGGTAGAGATTATATTTCAGATTGACACCCCAAAATTTCACGATTATGATAATCCGCGACAATTTCTAATAATCGCCCATATGTTTACGATGCATTAGATAGGTCCAATATTACTAGTCATTGCATTACAAGTTAAAACAAGTTAAAACACAAATAAATTACCTGGGTAAATTGATTTACACCAATCAATGAGACAAAAGGTGCATGTAACTATTATTCACATAGGGAAAACCGGGCGTGTACTTATTTGTGTAGGAAATAACTATTTCTTTCTATTTCCTAAATTTTTAAGTTCACAAACCTGGAAACCAGTATTCGTGACGCGGGACCAACATCAAAGTTAATAAATTACGTCATATCTGATATTACAATTTGATCAAACAATACTACGCGATTTCTGTTCTGTACATAAAAGGGACCAAGTAAAAGGAAGCATAGGAAGCAAAATGAGGAAAGTATTATAGTGAAATGGCGTAAATTCTGGGTGTGGTAATTTTATGAAGCCTTACTAAACGTATTATCAAAAACAAAGTAATACATATGCTTTTGTTCTTATTTTTTTTAATAAATAGTTTTTTCTTTTCGAAAGGTATATTTATTTAATATTTTATATTTATTAAAAATTCCAATAATTTAATTTGATAAAATTCAAATTATTCTCTTACTAAATCAATGTATATTTAATACCAATTAAAAAAATAAATTCAATTATTTTTGAATATAATATATATATGACGTGAATGAAAAAAATACTAATATAATTATAATCATTAACCTTTATTCACACGCGACATACATATCCTTGAAAAGTCTTTTGATAATAAATGCTAAAAAAAATATTGATTCAAACCAAGAGTCTTCCAAGAACATGGAATGGGCGAAATAAAAATACATTTTATTGCTAAATAAGTTCCTCCTTTTTTCAAAAAAATAAAGTCGCTTAAGTATTTTCAATTATATATATTAATAGGATAGAAATTAGTAACTTTGAATTTCGCCTTTTTTTCGAATGCATTCGTCATAATTCTGTAATCATTTTAAATACCGATTACGTAAACTGGTCTAGAGTTAATACCAGTGCACAAAATCTATTGTAAAATACTGGAATTTCCGGTTGATTAAGATATGATTCCGGCGTAGTTTTATGGCACTTTGCAATAAAGTGTGACATCTGCAGATCACGATGTCATGCGAAATGGCAAAAAATCAGCGATTTTAGCAGATTTAAAGATTTTAAACAATATATACGATTGTTTATTGAAATATATAATTAATATAAAATATAAACCATCATCACAAAAATCACAGTGTCACACTTTATTGCAAAGCGTCGGAAATTTTCCATTCATTTGACAAATTTCATTGGCTATGAATTCTAGCAGGTTACATCACTCCACAACAAAGACAGTGCCCGATTCAAAGTGCCTGTGATCAGTCACAAATTAAATTATTTATGTTGGATTCAATTGTGATAGATATAATCCCTCACCAGTTTTAATATATGTGTAACATTAACGGGTCTGTAATCCGGATCCTAATTATAAGATAATCAAAGATCCGAATCTAATTATAAGATCGGACCTTAATTATAAGATCCTGTTCTAATTATAAATTTGATTGGTTGGAGTTACCAGTTACGTACAGTCGGCTACAAATTTATGTATACTGGTTGACTCACGATGATCCGAATTTCGATAATCCGAATTTCCGCAGTAAAACTTCGAGTAACCATGTATTAGAATTTATATTTCAT